AATAAAGTGTACTATAACGATTTAAGTATTTGTAATCTTATTTTTAGTTACTAATCATTTTAGAGATGCAACACGATCTTTAGCCTGTATAATTAATAGAACAATAATACTCATACTACTCATACGTGTTACTTAACTTAACGTCACAATAACCTAATAGTTTAGCTCTACAATATTCAGAATATGTAAATTATAAGTATTAGTAAAGCTTATTGCTATTATAATAGCATGTCAAATAGTAAAGTTCTTTAACTCTTACATGTAACGTTTCAATTTTCTTTTTGTTAACCGTTTTTAGCATTTAAACTTAATATAACTAGCACTAGCAATTAATAGTAAAAATATTCACTTGTAAATAAAAATCTTGGGTTGTGGATTAATTTTAACAGTGAATACTTACCATTACGTTCGTTTGGAGCTAAAAGTATACAAGTTACCTGAGCCAAGCATTTTGTATAACAGAGATTCTAGAATTATCTGATCGGCAATTTTATACCATAAATGGTATAATCGACACTACCCAAATATAGAAAAATCCCTGACTGTATTTCCCAATTCTATAGATCTAAGTTTACTCAAATTTTTTTTTTGTATTTTGTTCTGGATTAGTCTCTATTTAATAATCAATATTTTATAAGCTGGCTTAATATGAGATGATTTTGTGAGCAGGTAAAAGAACCTTTAGTATAGTATAAGCTATTCAAGTTCATGATCTATAACTAATTAGTTTTATTTAACCATAATATAATTAAAAAAAAAAAGTAAGTACATTATATATATACGTGTAATTTTAGAAGCAGTATTATAACTTAGCATAATCTTATTGATCACTTTTTACGTGAACAAATAGATATACTTGTAGCCAAATTACTATATGCATTTTCAATTACCATAAGCATGTTCAAGTATATACAGTCGATATTGTCTAATTGCATATACTCTCTAATAGCATAAAAAAATTTGGATTTTAACTATTATACAAACATGGTTCTTATAACTTAAATGCATACACTGTCTATATGCATGAAAAAGTCTCTGATGAATGGCATACAATTAGACAGTATCGACTGTACTACATATTAAAGCTCTATAGAGTATATACAAATAGGTTTATATGAATAGTTCAAGTGTTGGTCTAGAGTCTGCTGTAGATAGTTTTGATAAAGAAACGGTTATAGGCGAAGTTGAATTCAAATGTATTATTCAGTTTAAAAACAACAAATATATTCGAAGAGATGTTTATAATAATGATGAATATCTATTTTTTGGATATGAAAATATAATATTTTAATACATACTAGTGTTACAAATTAATTTCTATTTCTCTAATTGTTTTTTTTTCTAAACTTATCTTTGATAATTTTTCATGTTTATCAGTTTTAAAAACTTAATTATCTTTGGGATATGATATCCTTTTTTAGTTGTAAAATATATAGGCAGATTTGTTTTCATGTAATTATCATAAGCTCGTCTGCTAATTGTTTTGCTTTTCTTAATATAGTAATAAAAAGTGATACTTTTTTTCAAAGTTCTAAAGTTTTTTAAATTAAAGTATAAAAAATTTTTGTATATAAGCCCAATGAGACCTCAGCTTCAATGATCCCAAAATAGTTTTTCTGATTCCACAATATATAGAACCTTTATTAGTGACAATATCAAGTTAATTGCGCAAAACTAGAATCGACCACAAATTTGCAGGTTATATGAGAAAAATGCCACTGCCAGTAGCCTATAAATATATGAAAATGCAACAATATGATAATAACTCGAGATTATATTGGGAAAATTAAAAATCACACATACTCTACATGCAATTGCAGCAGTTGCACTATTCACATGACCTGCAAATTTGAAGGCTACTCTGGTCGATTCTGCAAAACTATCGCTATATGATTATGTGCAATCTATGATAAGAACAATTGTAATATACAAAATTTTAGTCTTTTATCTTACAATAATATTAATATCTATACTTAGATGTAGTTTAGATCAAATGAGTAATGTCTAATAATATGCCTAATAAAAGCAGTAGCAACAGAAAATTAGAATAGAATTAGCATTTAAAATACAGTATATTAATAAAAAGTGAAGATAAAGCTACTGTCACCTGATTTTTTTCTGTACCACTGTATTATGATGATTGTTGTACATACGTACGTACGGGCTTTACTTATTTGTGCCAGTAATATAACCCAAAAAAGAAAATTTAATTTTGTAAATAAACAAAGTACGTAAAAACACAAATTTAGAGTTAGGATATTAATATTAGAAGCTATAACTATAGACTATTGCTTGTTATATATAAAATTTCATTTCCAACATTTTTAATCAGTATATCAAGATCGATTTAAATTCTAGTTTTTGAGTATTTTCACTTTTTTCTTCTTTCGCACATGTTTGAAATTTATGTCTGGCTGATCCGGAATGATTAAAATTTGAACTCACTGATTGGCTATTTCTTTTTTAGGAGTTTGTATTATTGGCACAAATAAGTAAAGCCTGTATATATGTACTCTTTAACTGTTAACTGTACTATTGAGCGCTTTTCTTATTTTTATTTTTATATGTAATACTGATACATTTCCTTATTTGTATTCCTATACACTTATTTCTCACTTCATACTACGATCGACCAAAGATACGTAAAGCATAATTGATTCATAATCTAGTCCTAAGTGAAATTACTAATTTCTCTTTTTCGACAATTAATTAACAAACGATTCTTTAAAGAGTTGCTAAAACTGTAAATCGAATCCTAAAAATGAAGCATTCGCTTATTATCATCGGTCACTAAACCCAAGAACGGCTGATGTAATATTTAATCAAGGGTAAGTTTTTGTGCAATTGACAATACCCTTTAATTCCCCTAAATCTGGAAAACCTGCTATAAATGATCCAAGAATGCTATATCGAATCTATTCTAATGAAAGTATCGTCGTCCTGATACAGATGTTTTAAAGTAACAGGCCATTGTAAGAGGATTGCAGAGCTAAAGACTTAAGTAAAGTAAGGTCACAGGTAAAAAGAAAAATAATAATTATAGAAAAGAATTGATTAAAAGAAGAGAGTTGAATCGTTAATAGAGCAGTGTAATTAATTTATATATGTCAAATTAGACTCAAAATTTTGCTTTCAATAAAGTCTATCAGACTTCGATCTCTTATATATTTAAACAAAATCTTTTATATACTTGTCAAATTCTCAAATTTACTGCATTGTTACTTAATCGTGAACATATCTTCACGATCTTGTTATCGTTACCATATTGTAAATACATCTTCACGATTCTATTATTATTATATCATGAATAAATCTTCACGATCTCTTAAAGTTATTAGTGCATCAATTGATTCTCAATCTGTTGTTATTATTCAACTTGACCGTTAAGTCACTTAACAATCATTTGACTTTATTACTTAATGTGACATTATTATATTGCTTTTATTTTCTTTATTATATACTCTTAATTTATTACAATTAGACTATTTACATCATTTTTTGATTAAATTATATTGTCATACAGACATTGATAATCTTATAATTCTTATTGCATGTATTCTTTATTTTTAATCTCCATATATTATTAATATCCCTTTCATTTACTATTGCTGACCTAAACTTGGCACCATTTTACTGACACTCCCAAACCCGATAGTAACCCCAGTTATAATCACTAACGTGAAAACATTTGTTATTGATGAATGACGAAATCATTTTTTCAGGTGACTTTTAATTGACAAATTGACGATTGATGATTGACGAAATCTATTATTAAATCTATCACAGGTTTCATCAATATTCAGGGGCTTCAAATTTTTACTAATTATCGAGTCAATTGCTCATAGAAAGACTTTTGTATGATTGGTTGTTTAAATCAATTTAATTTTATATTATTTATACAATTTAAAGTACTTTCTAAAAAAAATCAAATTATGAAGAATAAACAAAAAATATAAAGTTTTATTAGGGTTGTTGGACTCTATTATTAAAAATAATTCAAATCCCTGTTTGTTTTAGAGAAGTTAGCATGATAATAACCTAATTCTATCTATCTTTAAGAAATTGCTGCTAACTTCTCTAAAACAAACAGAGATTTGGATTATTTTTAATAATAGAGTCCTTTTAGAAAGTACTTTAAACTATATAAATAATGTAAAATTAAATTAATTTAAATAGCCAAGCATACGAAAGTCTTTCTATAAGTCAATTGCCAGAAGTTTTGTTATTTGCCAGGGGTTTCATTAATCACTAGAGATTTCGTCAGATGAATTATGAACATTTCGTCATCACAAAATAATTTGTTAGGGAATCATTACTTCTGACTAAATCAAAATACCATCAATTGTAATTTCATCAACTATTAGGGGGTTTAATGATTTTGCCAAGTGCAGGTTTTAGCGAGATTCTATACTTTCAAAAATTTGTTAATTGTCAGAAGTTTTATAAATCACTAGGGTTTTGTCAGGCGAAGTTATGATAAAATTTTTGTCATTGAAAAAATAATTTCGTCATGTAATTATTTTTGGCTAAATTAATTCAAGAGTTTCATTAATTGCCAGAGGTTTCATCAATTACCATGAGATTTGTCAGATGAAATCATAATTACATCACAAAAATAATTTCGTCAGCATCATTAATCATTATGCTCAAGTATTATGCACAAAATTGTGAGTAATAAATGGTAGAAGTTAAGGAACAGACAAATATAAAATAGAAAGAAAATTTTAGTTAGAAAAGCATTAACCTTTTGTAATTTCACTAATACTAAATAAAAGTCATTTTTAAAAAAATTTGTAAATTATTTTTGTTTAAATTAATAAAACATATCAAACTTTGAACAAGTAAACCCAAAATTTTATACCTTTGATATCATTCTAATTTGACAATAGCTTCTACTTTCAATGTGCAAGCATCAATACAAAAGGCTACGGTATAGCGATATTTTAAACCTCCAATTGAAGAATTCAGAAAAAAAAAGGCCAAATGCCATCTATATCCAAATGACAAGTATTTTATCATAAACAACAGTGGCACAACCAATCTACGTAATCATGTTTCTAAAATTCATAATATTAAAATCTCAGAGACAGTTAGTTCAGAAGATTTTACTGTTGCAATTCTTCAATCAAGTGAAGATATTTTTAGAGAAGCATTGGTCAAATGGATTGTAATCGATAACCTTCCATTTACCACTATTGAATCAGAAAGCTTTCGTGAGTTATTCGAGATAATCAGAAAATTAGAAGGCGATATTACAGTTCCTTCCCCAGGATGGTCAAACGTGATTTATTAAATAAGTACTCAGTTTTTAAAGAATCATTAAAAAAATATTAATGAATAACACAAGTAAGATATCACTTACTACTAATATTTGAACTAGCAAGAGCTGTAAAGCTTTTCTGGGTATTACAGCATATTGGATTGATGAGAACTGGGAAATTAAATTCCAAGTGCTTAATCTTGCACTGTTCGAAGGGTTTCATATGGGTAAAAATATAGCAAATACTTTATTTAATATTTGCGAAGATTTTGGGATAACTAATAAAATACTTGGGTAACTCTAGATAATGCCTCAAATAATAATACTTTTCTTAAGGCATTTGAATTACAATGCAAAGATGTCGATAGCACTTTTACTAAAGAGCACGGTCATGTTCACTGCCTTGCTCATGTTATTAATCTTTCTTTACAAGAGTTTTTACGTCATTTACATTTGGATGCACCAAATCAGGATGATGAACTTAGTATTTTAGATTAATCTACCACTTCCCAGACCCCAACCATTAAAAAACTTCGAAAGCTTATTGCCAAACTTCGGTCTTCGCCTCAGTGCTATCAAAAATTAAGTGAGCTATGCCTATATCTCTGTATACAATATAGAATTTCAATTCTTGATTCCAAAACATGATGAAATTCCACTCTTGATATAATTGAATGAGCCATTGATATGGCACCAGCAATCAATGAGATGGTCAATCAAATACAAAAATTAAGTGGACTAAGTCTTTTGTCGAATAAATGGAATATGCTTAAAGAAATATCTTTATCTCTAAGAACTTTCTGTGATATTTCTGAAATATTGTATAGTGAATCATATGTAACGATACCTCTTGCTATATCGGTATATAATTTAATCATAGATGATCTTGAAGAGATGCAAGAACAATATTCATCCTTAATTATTAATGACACTATCAATGCGGTACTTAATAAATTAAAATTTTATTATACAAATGTGATAATCCAGTATATGCAATAGCTATTCTATTGGACTCAAGGTTAAAAAAAGCGTATTGCAAAGCGGAGAGTTGGGATATTGAATGGATTACCTGGGTAACTGGATGCCTAAATGACGTATATGACAAGTATAATTATAAAACAGTTTCAAAAATGAATCATAACATTTCTAGCAATAATCATTTTAATTGTGTATTTGTTAAGCTCTACTGTTCTACAAATACAAATGAGGTTAGTTTATATTTAAATAGTCCCTTTGTCAATAGGCAAATGGATGTATACCAATGGTGGAAAATGCATGCTGTAGAGTATCCAACACTTGCAACTATAGCACGTGATTACCTAGCTGTACTAGCAACAAGTACTCTATTCGAAAGACTATTTTCTAAGGGCTCAGATATGGATACTATAAAGCGTAGATCACTAAATCCGAAAACAATCCAAAAGGCAATTGCATTTAGCGACTGGATAGATTTAAAAATGGTATACTTTGAAAATTTTTTTTAAATTATATGTAATTATATTATTATTATTATTACACATATATTTCATTTAAATTTTTTCAAATAGTAAATTTATTATTAATAAATGTTACGGCTAATGCTGAAGTTTGGCTGATGTTGAAGCTAAAAAATCTGATTGGCTAAATTTTGCAGATCACTCTTACCCTAACCAATCAGATTTTTTAGCTTCAACATCAGCCAAACTTCAGCATCAGCCGTCACAATAAACATTCAACATTCATCATACACAATTTATATAATTGAAATAAAGTAATAAAATTGTAAACCTGCGTGAACTTAATTAGTTTTTTTAATGTTTTGATTCAGTGATTATTTTTCACTATGCGAACTGTGCAGGCCTACCGAATAATTAATTGTGGATGCAATTAATTGCAATTATTTGAATTCAATTAATTAATTGGTGGCGCAGCAATGAAAAGTCAATTAATTGCAATTAACTATCAATCGGGGCTAGGATCGGGTGATCTAATATGATAGATGAATTAGGCATGTGATACTATATCAGAAAGTATAATGCAGATAGAGCTTATTATTAATCATGTATGAAATATATAGTCAAATACAATCAAATGTAGTATAACGTATAAATAAGAAAGGAGAATTAGTAAGCCAAGCCAATATTTTTCTTGCCTCATGCCTTTGTAATCCGAATCTTGTCTGGTCGCTAAGGTGTTAGAAGTGAATTATGAACTTAGTGGTTGTGGTCTTATAAAGAAAACTTCTTCTTTAAATAACTTTTAATATTTACAAATTATGCAAACCACCGTAATATTAGCTTATACACCTTTTCGAAAACACATATATCAACGCCTAGATCTTTTTTTTTAAAAATTGATTTCAATGAACGTTAAAGTTTCAAATAAATATTACATTGAGGCTTTTTTTAGACCTGCAGATGATAGCAGACATCAGTATAATTTATGTCCTCCCGGATCACAACAAATAATCTAAAAAAAGGAACGGGCTATACAAATTTAATAAATCATTTAGAAGAGCGACACAGTAATTTTAAGTTGATTTACCAACAGCGTATTGGAAGCATTACCTTTTCCACTGA